CCTCACTTATCTGTATGTCAAGTTCTTTTCCCCTGCTTGGGAAGTTTTCTGCCATCAGTTCTGTGAACAGTTTTTTTTATGTCACCTGCACTCTCTCCTGTTTCTTCATTGACTCCAATCAGTCTTATGTTATTCTTCTTTGCATCATCTAGCAGCTACTGGATTGATTTCTCATGGACCCTTACTAGTGTAAAGCAATTTTTCTTTTCCTGTTCACTAGCTGCAATCTTCTATATCTGAAATTCTGTCCTCACATTGGTTCATTCTGCTGTGCAGACTTTCAGTGGAGTTTTTAATGTCCTGGAAATCTGTTTGTATCTGTTTTATGGATTCCATTTGTTTCCTATGCTGGGATTCCATCATGTTCCTAAGATCCTCTATTTTTTTTATCTGTGTCCTTTCTAGATTTATTAATCATGTCTTGCACTATGGGCACAATCTCTGCTGTTATTTGAGAAATTATTTCTGATTTCATTTTTTCCAGATCCTCTATTGTTGGCAGTTGAGGGAGTCCAGTTGGTTGAGTATCAGAGTGTTCCATCTCGTTTCCCTTTGGGGTTGTATAGGTGATCTGGAAGTCTGTTTTTGAGGCTTGTTTACGTGTCTTCTCATTTACACAGGGGTAAAGGGGTGGGTGCTAGTGGCGCCCATGCAGCTCACCTCCTCTGCCCTGGGAGTGGTGGAATGGTGGCTGGGGAGCCTCCTCCTGGGCACTGGGATTGGCTCACCTCCTCTGCCCTGGGAGCAGTCAGTCTGTATCTTTTAATTGGAGAGTTGAGACCATTAACTTATAGACATAAAATGACCAATACAGGCCTGGTGTCATGGTGCACACCTGTAATCCCAGCCCTTAGGAGTCTGAAGCAGAAGCATCATTACGAGTTCAAGGCCAGCCTGGAACTACATAGTAAGTTCAAGGCTAGCCTGAACTACATAGCAATATCTTGTCTAAAAAAAAAATAGGTCCATTCAGTTCTCTTGGAGTAGTTCGGTTATTGTGCTGTTGTTGATTGGCAACAAAAGTGCATATAACATATCCTTGTGCACATCTTTGTAAAAAATATATTGTACAAAAACAGGTATTATTGCCTTGTGAACAATGGTAGACTTGTCTACTGGATTGTTGATTCATCAAGTAGAAAGATGAGCTCTCCCCATTGCCTCATCCTTGGAGTAAGATCATGAGCCTTTTTCTTCTCTTTATGCTATGCTGCAGCAGCCCATAGGCTTAAAATTCTTCTGAAATATGGGAGAGTTTTTGGCTCAGGTAAGATGGCCTTATAGGCAATGTGATGTTTCAGGACTGTGTGTTTGTGAATCTTGTTTTCCCCTAGGTTTGCTTGGCATTCTGTACCAGCTTCTATTCTTAGGGTTTTCTTTCTCTGTTGTCTCTTCTACTACTTTCAAGAGTAAAGCTATTTTTGGTGAAAAGACAGCATACTGTGAATAGCTTACCTGTGACATGCAATACTGTTCTGAGAGTAGTTCTTCCTGTACAGATTGTCAATTAAGTCTGGATCTTGGGCCAATGGGTTCTGTGACAGCTATAATGGTCTATGCACTGGGAAATGAGTGGCAAGCCTCCATCCACACAGGTATCTGCAGAATACAAACCAATGTGTCAGCTAATGAGAGGCATCTTAGGTCAGTTGTTAGCTACAAAAAGGACACAAAGGCTAGGCAAGACTGGCCAACCATTTAGATTGGGACTTGGGCAAGACATGTTACACTCAATCCTTGGTCTGTTTGTGGGCAAAGAGAGATGCTTTTCTTCAACTCCTACTGATTTGTTTCCTTTTTTGCTGATGGAGCAATGCCCTTTCTGAGCCATGTGTTCTTTTCCTTTTAGATGTGTCCTATTGACTCATCTCTCAGAAGCATCCTATGACTATAAAGTGGATCCTTGATTTACAACTGGCCTCACATATGAACAACTTGGATTATAACCAGAATTTTAGTTTTAACTTATGACCAAAGTCTTGAGTTATGACTCAAGAGCTAGCTACTTGTGCAGTTGTAAACAAAGACTTCCACTGCCAGAAAAGTGTACGTAAGTGAATGTAAGCATCAGTCTGAGCCCAGATGCATGTGTTTGTGGACATGATTTCAGTCAGTGCTTTATATAATCACTATGATTACTGCTATCAAAATGGCCCCCAAAAAGCTTGAAAAGAAGCTAAGGAAAGAAGGGAAGGTAAAAAAAGCAATCACAATCTAAAAGAAGAAGGAAATTGTGGAGAAATAAGAGAGTGGCATTCATGTGACTGATCTTGCTAATATGTACAGCATGTTGAAATCCACCATCAACAATCATAAAGAAAAAGATTTGTATAAGGAAGCTAGTGCCGTTAAAGGTGTTACTCAAATTAGTAAGTCAATAGTATTAGACAAGGTAAAAGGGTATTATTAGTGTGGATAGACAAAAGGCAGATGGCAGGTTATAGCCTATCTGAGTCTATAATTTGTAAAAATGATAGAGTTATAAATGCAGGTCTTATAAAGGACAATCCGTCAACACGTAATAATGGTAAAACATTTCATGCCAGAAAGGGGTGGTTTCACAATTTTAAAGAAAGAACTGGATTTCATAGTGTAACTAGGCACAGTGAAGCAGCCAGTGTTGATAAAAGGGCTGCTGAAGATTACATACACCCCTTAGAAACCATGACACAGAGAAATAGCTTTTGCTCTCATCAAGTTTTCAACTGTGATGAAAGTGGCCTTTTCTGGAAGAAAATGCCCAGGAGAACATACATTACCCAGGAAGGGAAGAAAATGCCAGACCATAAGCCTATGAAGGATAGGGTAACCTCATTGCTATGTGCCAATGCGAGTGCTGACCTCAAGATAAAGCCTCTCCTTGTTTATCACTCTCAGACCCCTAGAAAACATACAGTCATGAAGAATAGGCTAGGGGTCATGAGGAGATCTAACACAAAAGCCTGGTTAACAAAAGTACTTTTTCTTGAGTAGATTAGGAAGGCTTTCTGTCCTACTGTTAAGAAATATCTAGAGGACAGAGGTTTACCATTCAAGGCTCTCCTCATCATGGATGATGGTCCTCCTTACTCATAAGATTTGGAAGAAGAATTGGCTAAAAAATTCCCATGGCTCTCAATTGAGTACCTCCCACTTAATACAACTTCTCTATGGCAGCTTATGGACCAGCAGGTTATAGCTAACTTTAAGAAGCCATACACCAAGGAGCTGTTCCTGTAGTGCTTCCAGATGGTCTCAGATACAGATTTAACCCTTAAAGGGTTCTGGAAGGAACATTACAACATCCTTTCCAGTGTAGGTTTAATTGAAAAATCCTAGGCCTGTATCTCTCTAGGGACACTGAGATCTGCCTGGAAGAAAGTGTGGCCTAAAATTACACGGGAGAGAGACTTTGAAGGCTGTGTAGATGAGCCTGACCCTTAACTGACCCTGTGGTTCACAGTGTCACTATAGCAGTCCATAGTTTTGCAGGTAGACAGTGGTGATGTTGAGGAATTGGTGGAGGAATACTCAGAGGAACTGTCTACATCAACTTCTGGCTGAGCCACAGAGAATAGCAGCTGAGCTTTCTGAAGAGGAGGGCGAGTATCATCAATCAGTGCAGGGATTTAGCTCATTGGTTCCACCGCCTGCCCTGAGTTCGATCCCCAGTACCAAAAAAAAAAAAATGAGTCTAAGACAGTTCATGACTATGAATAAATCCTGGAAGGCTTCTATATATTTCTAAAAATCCTCTGAAAAATTACTTAAATCCTGTTTGATTTGCTTTAGGTCCTGCACAGAGAAAGATTGTTGAGCTCTAACTGGTCCAAATTCGCCCAGTAGCTCCTGAAGTGGGCACATGCATGTGAGTGGGGGATGTAGCATTTGCTGAGGACTCTGGGTAAGGAGCAGGCCCCTTCTTATATGAGTTCTGAATATCAGAGTTATCTTTCCAGTTAGGCTGTGGCTTAAGAGATGGAAAGTCACCTAGATAAGGTGATTCTATTTTATTCACAAGTGCCATTGGGAACTTACACTGGGAACATAAGTCAAGATTATCTCAGAAAGAAAGCTTGCATTTAAGATACCTGACCACTTCTCTGCCTTTTTGTAAAAGATCTCTAACTGGAGTACAGTGGACCCTTGACTTACGAACTCAATTCATTTGCGAGGGCTCGTTGTAACTCAAGTTGGTTTAAGTCAAGACTTTTAAAATAAGAAATAATGAAAATACCCATAATGTGTTCTGAACCTCCCAAAGCACCCCTTAACTAACCTTTTCATAATAAAAAAGAGTTGTATAATGTGCATAATTTACCAGAAACACCAATAATTTTCCTAGTGTATTCACCTAAGAGTTATAAAATGTGCCTAGTGTACCAGAAACGACAGTTTCATAATGTACTCACCATTCAGATTGACATCTTTGGCTTGCAGGAATGGAGGGTGAAATGGAAGGTGTTTACTGTTTGTAAGGAGAGTCCCCTTCCATAAGAACATCAGGAATCTGGCTCTCTACTGTTCTTTCTCTCCTTGGGAGAGTCTGTAGCCCACTAGTACCTGCTTCTGGCTCACTAGGTCTCAAACTTTGCAGAACTAAAAAGTGGTCTAAGGCTGTCTGCTTCTGTCTTTTTTTTTTTTTTTTTTGGTACCAGGGATTGAACTGGGGTCCTTGTGCTTATGAGGCAGGTGACAGCACCACTGAGCTAAATCCTGGCCCCATTCACGAACTGTCTTGGAAGGATGTCAGTGCTATTTTGGGACAGACCCAGAGATTCAGAAAGGTCTTGAGTAATCACAAGGGTCAGATATTCTGCTGCTAACATACATACCCTAGATCAGTGACTGTGAACCTTTCAATGATACAAACTGCCTGCTGCAGCATGTGCTCTAGATTATAGATATAGGTACCCTATAGTGGCCTGAAGCTGTACATATAGCTCCTGCTGGATGAGATAATGGCGCTGATGATATGTGAAACTACAGATATTCTGTAATTTGCATGCTAAAAGGGTTAAAGACCAGTAAAGTCAAACCTGTAAATTGCTCTAAATTGGCTTCTATTGATCAGGGCCCAGGTGAAAACCTGACAGCATTTCTCTTAGGATGGAAGAAGGCCATGGAAAAGCTTACTATGATGGACCCTCAGTCTTAGGAGGGGTGAATCCTCCTTAAAGACAGATTTCTTTTCTTTTCTTTCTTTTTTTGGTAACAGGGATTGAACTCGGGACTTTGCGCCTTTGAGGCAGGCACCGGAACCACTGAGCTAAATCCCCGACCCTAACGACAGATTTCTTACCTGGTCAGCTGCAGATATTGGGAAGAAATTGCAAAAGATGTCTTTGGGACCTGACACTCCTTTTGCTGACGTACTAAATGCTGCTAATTCTGTTTTCTATAACCTGTATATGGAGGAGGAACAAAGAGGGAAAAAGGAAGCTAAGGTTAAATGAGAATGAGAGGACAAAGCACACAGAGCTTCTCACTGCATTACAGAGTGACAAAAGGTTACCCCCAGCTCCTCCCTCAAGGGAAACAACTAGTGACAAGTGTCATATCTGCTGGCAAACATCCCATTGGAAGAAAGACTGGCCCATGCTGGGATCCTCCAGAGTCACTCTGTGCTGTATGTGGCCAAAGAGCACTGGAGGACTTACTGTCCTGAGGACCGAAGGACTCCCAGTTCAGAGGCCCAGTTGGTGACCAGGAGTGAGAGGGCCTACGGCTCCAGTTGACATGTAGCCAATCATCACCACCAGTGGGATGGAGCCTCTGGTAACATCAGATGTCACAGTAAGACCCTAAGCTTCCTCCTCGACAGTAGGGTCTCTTATTCTGTTCTTACCTCTTGTTTCAGACAATTGGCTTCTGACTCTTGTTAGGTTATGGGCATCAGGAGAGCTCCAGTGACCAAATGCTTTAGTCCCTCCTCTATGCTGTTTATGGAATAATTCTCTCCTTACCTATGCTTTTTTTGGTAAAGCCTGAATGTCTAGACCCTTTACTTGGCTAAGACTTACTAACATAGATGGGAGCTCAAATTATCTTTGGCTCACTTAGCAGCTCCACAATTATGGCAATGATCTGCTCTCCCAGCAAGGCTGATAATGACTCTATCTGTATTGGGCTTCCTATTAAACTGCAAGTATGGTTTACCATTATGCTTAGGAGAGCTACCACTATTATCCCAGCAGTAACTGAGCTAAAAGACCCTCATGGCTTCCCACACTGTAAACAGTATTTCCTTCAGCCAGAAGCTGGGGCAGGGCTATAACTTTTAACAAATACTGTAAGTTCCTTCATTATGGACTTTCAGTGCCTTGTCAGTTACCTTGTAATACCCCAGTTTTAGCCATGAAGAAGCCCAATGGTGATTTCTACTTATTACAAAATCTCTGTGTTATAAATGAGGCAGTTATTTCTATACATTCAGTAGTCCAAAAGCCTCATACTTCGCTGGGGCACATTCATTCAGATGCCCAATGGTTGTAATTCTAGATCTTAAAGATGCTTTCTTTTGCATCCTAATGACCCCTGAGTCCCAATTCCCTTTTGCCTTTGAGTAGACTAATGAGCTGAGCAGGAACACACAGCTTATCTGGACTGTCCTTCCCCAAGGATTCAGGGACAGTCCCCATATTTTTGGACAAGCTTTGGATAGGTACCCTAACAAATGGGCTATTAAACAATATGTGGATGATTTTATTTGTGCTCCTTCTCTAACAAAGGCTCAAGACCATTTGGTTCGGACTTTAACTTTCCTGGCTGACAGGGGATGTCAAGTCTCTAAATCTAAAGCCTAATTACTGTCCCCAAAAGTCCACTACTTAGTGTTTGTTTTAACCCCAGGGCATCAAGCCCTTTCAGCAGAGCATATATAGACAATCCAAGCCTTTCCAGCCCCTACCACCAGAAAGCAACTTTGTGCTTTCCTAGGCTTAACTGGCTACTGTTGGCTGTGGATGCCGGGATATGGCCTATTGATAAACTCCTATATGACTTTCCGAAAGGAAATAATGGTCAAACTCTCCTTTCTAGGAGCAAGAACAGCAACAGGATTATAATGACCTCCTAAAAACCATGCTTTGAGACTGGCACAACTTGACAAGCTTTTGTATGTAACTGAGCACCTCAGTTTGGCTTCAGGGATTTAGGGCCCATTCAAAGGGCTACTAGACATTTAGCAGAGCAGTTGCCAGGGTGTATCTGGGCAATAGCCACTCTGTTCTTTTAGTAGAGGAATCCCTTATGATTACTTTGGGACCTTCCCTGTCTGTCCACTCTCCTCATCAAGTGACTTCTCTGTTAAAGGATCTCATTGGCTCACAGGCTCTCATATTTTACACTATCGAGCTTTATTACTCAATAATCCTGAAATCTAACTTGACTCCTTTTAAACTCAAATGCTCCTCTATTAGCTTAGCTTGTATGGCTAACAACAGAAAGGGTTCCAGTGTTTGCTGCAGCATGCATGCCACAGGTTTGCCACGACTGACCTAGGACACGAGTTCTCATTAAAACATGTACGGAAGGCCCACAAGGTCAATAATTCAGTCCTTCTTTGGAAGAGCTCTTTCCTGGTTCTTTTCTCTTTTCCCACAGCTACTAAGGCCCCAGAAACTGCTACCTGGTTGCATCATTCCTGAGTCAAACCTTGGATGGCAGGCGTCCTTCAAAGCACCACACTGTCCTGAGAACACTGACTGCTGGTGTTCACACACACTTCCATTAAGCAAATACCACATCATAGGCCCTACCTCCAACAGAGGGCTACACGCGCCTTGGCTAGTCTCCCAATCAGAGCCTTCATACCACGTCTCTTCTGCTCATTTGGGCCTCCAGGGAATAACTGTTCACCCAGTAGTGCCTAAAAGAGGCCCTTTGAATCTGATCATAAGGTGTTGAGTTACCATTCCCCTTGCTTAAATATATTTTACCTTTTGTTTCTGATGGGCTTGGCTTTCTGGATCAGCTTGGTGAAAAAGGTTCACAACCATTACAGTTTTTGTTCTGTTGCAGAAATCTTGGAAAGAAATACACAGAGACACAGAATTTGGATAAAATAATATTTCTTCTGGAGAGCGGGCAGGAATGCTAGAAACCAGTCTGGTCAGTAACTGCCCCCTTTGTTCAGCATTTCCCTTTTTATATCCTTTTTAGCCATTATCTCATCCCTAGTGGTCTTTGATATGTAAATACAATTCCAATTCCTATTTACAAGTCACAGACACAGGTTCACCCTGGCATGGTAACTTTGTTAGGTTAATGAAGTTACCGGTTAGAGTCTGATAATCCTCACCTTAAACAAGGAGTTATGGGAA